AGAACATAATAATAAGGTGTTTATAATAGTTTCATTCTTGCTTTATAATACTTTGAACTCCAATAAAGAAACAAAATACATCCATTTCAAAAGTTTTTTAATATAAAAATTAGCAGGACATGCATATGGAAATTATATTTAAATTTCAAAGGATATTTTCTTTCAATTTAGTAGTGAATCATTAAGGTAACCAACAAGCTATTTGAAGTTATTTCCATAGCACTGAAGTTAAGAATTCTTCTCCATGTATCTATATCAGTATTTAAATGGAAATGTAATTTTGAATATCTTTACTCGATAGAGATATGGAAGATTACATTTTGACTTATTAACCAATTTTCTCCCCCATCCTATGTTCTTATGCCCCTTCACCCACTTTCATTTAATCAGGTAGACAGTTCTGCAGGATTGCCTAAAGGAAAGGTTGACAGAAGAAAATGGAGAAAAGGGTAATCAGTTTTAGACTCTTGAGCCTTCAAAAGGCTGGCCCTCAGGGTAACTGAAAAGAATATCAGATTTGGTTAAAAAATTTTTAAACCCCCCAAAATAACCCAAATATGATAGATAAGAGCCAGGCTACTCTCCAGGCTGGGCAGAAGTCAAAGGGGAAACAGTGAGAAGTTAGAGGTGGGCAGGTCCCAAATAAGTCCCTTGTTGAGCCCCCAGGCTAACTGTGCCAGCTGTAAGTTTGTTTACTCTCAGCTCCAAATCCACCTTCATTGCCCTGCTTGTGACACTGGAACATATATCCCTTGTCAGCTGGCTGGATGTTCAGCTCTCTCTGCAGAGGGCACTAGTGGAGGATGGAGCCTGTCTTTCTGGTTCCAGTGATGCTCCTGCCTTGCCTTAGTTTGGCAGCAGTGAATGGTCAGTAGGAATGGGGACCCCCAGCTGTGCTCACCCCCAGCCAGATTCAGTGCCACCAACCCTGCAGGCAGCTTTCCAGAGAGTTCCATGGAGCAGCACCTACCAGTGGGCAGCCTCCCCTGGTCCCAGAGAGGGCAGTTCCTAGTGGGCAATTCCCAGCACACCACTCTTACATGCTGATTTCCAGCAAGTCTACAGCACAGTACCTCAGGACATTTCTCTGGCTTTCCAGTGAGGTCTGGACCTCAGCCCAGGATGAGGGTGTCCTCTTCTATTTTGTTCCTTTCTTGGGTGCTCTGCCTCAGTCCTATAAGTAGTGACTTCCCTATCTGCTCTTCTTATAGTCTTTAGATTTCTCTTCCCCTCCTCAGTAGATAATACCCTATTATTAGTAGTAATTCTTAAACAATTCTTTTTTTTTTTGCGGTACTCGGGCCTCTCACTGTTGTGGCCTCTCCCGTTGTGGAGCACAGGCTCCGGGCACGCAGGCTTAGTGGCCATGGCTCACGGGCCCAGCCACTCTGCAGCACGTGGGACCCTCCCAGACCAGGGCATGAACCCGTGTCCCCTGCTTCGGCAGGCAGACTCCCAACCACTGCGCCACCAGGGAAGCCCTTAAACAATTCTTTATGTGAAACCTTCCCTGTTGAAATCAGTTTGGTTTCTGTCCCCTGAATAGACCCTCACTGAAACAGATTTGGTTCCAGGAATGTCCAGGAGAAGCCATAGAGATGGCATTTGGAAATTGATTTGACTGTATCCTTGGAACCGAGCCCACTGTTGGGTTGTTTGCCAATAGGACAGAGGATGATAGTAATCCATGGCATGCAGTGGCCTCACAGTTAGTCAGTTGTCACCTGGATGAAGAGCCAACTGAAGCGAGTACCCTGGAAGCTTGAGTGGCTGCTACACTTGACTGTCAGGCAGTATGAAGACCACGAGGATGGTGGGGTGGGTGGGTCCTTTAGATGCACTGGGGCACTTACAGAGAGACATGACAAGCCTGGGTCCTTTAACTCTCAGCTCAATTCATAGTCTAAGAGCCAGAAAGATTCCATGTCAGCCATAATAGAATGTATTTCTTGCTACCACAGCACTGGTATGGCTGATAATCAAACACAAATCTAATTGATCAGGTTGCTGAATTACAATGTCAGCTGAATGTACATTTCACAAAGTTTCTCATGCAAAAGTTAGAAAAAAAGATTAGGATAATAAAACTCCAAGTAGGGACATGTTGTTGGCCCCAGATAAAACTGACAGTCTTGAAACTCAACTCACTCTGAGCCATCATTGCCAGTGGAAGTAGCTTGAAACCCTGCATCTGAGAAGATAAGACTTCTTTTGCTTCAAAACTCTACACTAACCTCACCTAGGACAGATGAGGGGTAATATCTTAAAAAGGGATGCTCATTCCTCTTAAGACCCACAACAGTGAGCTTTAAGTCAGCAACAAGGGTCATATCTCAGTATGATCCAGGGGAACTGGTACATTTCCCTATCTGCTCTTCATCAAAAGAATTGAATCAAAAGATTTTGCTATTCCATATCAGCAGCAACCCAGAGAACATGTGCAGGAGTGGATTCTAAGGGTGTCAGGCCAAGAAGGATGAAATATAGCACTATATCAAGCTGAATTCATTCAAATGTGTGTGCTTACTAGAGAGTCTAGATTTAGTATATTAGTTCATGCAGCTGGAGGTATACTAAAACCTGGACTCAATGGTGGCCTACATTTAATGAGGATAAAATGCCAGAGCTTCTCTTGCTTGTGGAGGAGGAAATTCAAAGGCTTGGAGAGACAGGAATGCTGGGATAGATTTACCATGGGTGACCTGCACACTCACTTCCCAATTTCATTTAGCAAGAACACTCAGAAGCCATTTCTTTTGATACCACACAGGACCCTGTGGGGCTCCTGGGCACAAAAGGCTTTCTGTGCCCCCCATTTCTTTGATTATAGGAAATAGGTTTCATTCAGCCTCCATGACCTTCCCTGAGTTCCAACTGGCAGATTTAAGCAGTTGCTAATTAGGGAAGGGAGGGGATGCAGAGACAAGGGAGGAGCAGTCAAGAGGAACAATAGTTCAGCCTTGGGGAAGGGGCCTGGGTCCCCATTAAGGGATACACACAATATCTTTGAGCTGTTTTGCAGATAGTGAAACACCCACCAGGTGGGAGAAGTTAACTGTATGCTGCCCACAAGCACGTAGACCGCAGACCGGTTGGAACCAGAAGGTTGATGATGCCGACTCCCAGTTACCTCGCCACCAACCACTCAGAAGAATGTCCACGAGCTAATGATGCCCGCTTTGAACCATTCCCATAAAACTCCTCACTACCCACTCCAGGTAGGGACACAGAGTTTTGACGGCATTAGCCTGCTGTGGCCCCCTTTGCCTGGCAAAGCAATAAAGCTATTCTTTTCTACTTCACCCAAAACTCTGTGTCCAAGATTTAATTCAGTGTCAGGGTACAGAGGCCAGGTTAGGCTTCACTTTCACTAAAGCAGTGAGAAACACATTGGAGAGGGGAGAACGAGCATCCTTGAAGACCTTACAGTTGCTCTCCTTTGTAGGCCAGATATGACACTGAAAGTACAAGGTTCCAGTGCGGATGATGTGATCCCAGAGAAGCAGAGGCCAAGAGGCAGCCCCTGACCACCAGTGACAAGTTGGGAGCATTTACCATAAAGGGTGGCAGGGATGTTTACTGTTAATGAGAATGCCTGGCCCACAGAGATCTCTGATGGTAGTTAATTGATCGGGGTGCTCTTGGGAAAGAAACATGTGGTCATCCTACTAGAGTATTCCTTAATCCATATAACAGAAAAGACACTCTAGTAACTCAAAAATGTGATTTGAGTTACTGTTGCCCTCAATTGAGAGTCACCACCTCTCAAATAGTTTCTAGACGTTGGTCAATTCAAAGACCAAATGCCCCTTAATTAGTGGGAAAGCTGGGGCTCCTTGAGGAAGGGCCCTGAAACATTGTTATACCTATGCAATAAATAAAATTTATAAAATAAATATAAAATAAATAAAATTTCCTCCAACCCTTCTCCAGAGAGCCCTGCAGCTATCTATTAGGGTGACTGCTCACAGAGAAGAAGGAAATACACAGGCTTTCAGGGAATACTGGACACCAGTCATAAACTGACTCTATTTCCTAGAGTCTTATAATGCCACCGTGGTACACTAATCAAAATGGTTTTTTTTTTGCTTGTTTGCTTCTTTGAGGGGGGAGGCATATTAGCCCAAGTTAGACTTATAATGGGCCCAGTTGTTCCACTGGCCTGGTGATATTTCTCTCTAGTACCTGAATATTTAATTGGAATTGCCACAATTGGCAACTGACAGAATCATCAGACTGGGTCTCTGAATCTTAGGGTGAGGGAATGTTTATATGTTTTGCTCATTGATATGTTTCAAGTGCCTAGAATAGTGGATGGTACATAGTAGGCATCTAGTAATTAAATGTTAAATGAAAAAATGAACAGATGAATGAACTACATATTAAGACATACAGCCTTAAACTTCAAAATAATAGTTACTTTCTTGTCCAAATATCTACACTTATTTATCTACAAGATTTGTTTTCTTATTAACAGTACCTAACTTTGGTAAATGACCATTCAACTTCCTTATCGTTAGAAAGATTTCTGTAAATAATTTGTAACCAGTGATTACTTCCCCAATGCCTAAGGGTCACTGAGATTTAGAAAAAGTTTTTAAAATCCTGAATTTTGTGTTTTCAGTTTTTTGAGAGGTCTTGGTTTTATCCCAGCCTCGTCAGGATTAGGGAACTACTTTCCTTTCTTTCCTGTAGCCCAGCTCTGTCCCCACTTTCACCCCCATATTAAAGGGCCATTTGTGTTGAAGTTTGTTTTTGGTTGGGCACTAGCAGTAAAAGAGCAGGTTAGGAGTCACAGGGAAAACCTGACTTATCTGCTTCTTTTAACCTATGACCTTCCCAGCTCTGCTGCTAAGCTAAGGTGTTCCCAAATATATGTAGTTGGAGAGAATAAGAACAAGCATCACTCGAACTGAAAGTTTCTCAAAGTAGTTCCTTACCAATATTAGCACCAAACTTGTACTTAAGATAAAAAGGAAATAAAAAGCTAGCACACTGACCTGAGTGATGTAGATGATTTTGTGCAGCTGGATTAAGATCTGCTGAATAGGATCACTGATCTGACGTACTTTCCTCTGGGACACAGCAATTCCTGCAGATGCTGTGGATGAAAAATTCTGCAGTTAATCAAGACCCTTTCCCCCTTCACAAGTGGTATTAAGTGGAAAATGGGGTAAAATTCTAAAAAAAATACTCTCATCCTACCAATTAGAAAATATGTAGAGACCTTGTTACACTTCAATATTTTATGATATGGGATGCACAATTCTTTCCTTCTACTTCTTAGACCTCTAAGTAACATAATAATGTTATCATTTGTAACATCTTAAAGACTGTTTATCACTTGGAAATTTTGCCTGCAATTACACCAGGCTGCCACAAGGTGTCAGTGGTGTCTTGGATACTGTGGCCATTGAAAAGTTGGGCTTCAGATATGTGCAGTTAAGAGATTATCACACTTAAAAATTTTAAATTCATTTGCCCTCAGTAGCAAATAAAACTAGTTTTATTAAAACTACTAAAATGCAAATAGTGAATAGGCAATCTTAAAGAGCAAACAAAAAAAACATAATTTGTAATAATTAAGGGTTTGAAAATTATGTTACTTCCCAACCCTTGATTATTACAAATTATAATTTTCACTGAGATTTCTCTTCAGGTCTAAATAAGACACATCTATAATTTATCCTGAATTCTCATCACAGAGCCACATCACTTTCACAGTTCTAGGCTAGCTTGGTATCAAACTGCATATAAGCTGCTTTCCCAGATTCACATGTCATAGCCACAAGTGGCCCATTCTTAACTTTGAGGAATGTAAAGCTATTTAAAGGAATGGCCTTGACCCCTGTATTAGCCACAAGGTCCCCTCTGCCTCTTCTCACCCTCAGATCCACACTAGAGAAAATAGAAGAGAGACTTCAGATATGTGGATGTATATTATTCTCTCTCCCACATTCCTGCTCTTTCCCTTCCTCCCAATAACATGTAGCATACTTTCTGAAATAACGTTTTTCTTGCCAATTTCTCTTTTAAAGAAAATTTCCAAAGTCCTTCTTTTCTTACCTCCAGACAATTTTGAGCACATGAAATTAAATGTGAATACAATAATTGCTTTAGCAACAGCTAAGATTTTGAAAAATGATTCTTATATAAATGCTTTCTGAGAAAGTTTGCATATTTTACCATAAAAACTTGTTTTCAAAACATTTATAGAGAAAATTTAATGTGGCCATTAAAAGATCCAACTTGTTTTATTATTAGCATACCAAAATGTATGTTTAGGACACAAACCACAAAAAAGAAAATAAATATAACATTGAAAGAAATATTATTTTCCTTATGGGTATCTTTACTGAGTTTGTTAAGAAATTCACACAAGAAATCATCTAGCTCTAGTTCATCTTCATTTAATACCCTGTTTAAATGTTTGCAATTTAAAGGATCTACCTCCTCTAGGAACTGTGTCTAACTCCTTTTAAGCAACAATTACTTGCCATTAAGATGAGGTTTAGTAAATTACCCTTAGGGTAAAAATGTGAAGGTAAATCAGAAAGAATTAAGGTAGCTCTGAAATAGAAAACAGAGAGCTGGAAGTATCTGCTCCAGCCTGAAGAGATGGCCAATAGTATATATGTCATATTTTCTACAGTGGTGCTTCTTTGCAGAAATAATTCTTAAAATGTAATTATTTGTTTGTCTAGACTGATATCCAAAACTAATGTGGCCAAGTTGATGTTGCTATAGGAAGACTAACTTTGTATTTTCTGAAACTGGATGGCTTTTGATCACACTTATGTTGATTACTTTATGTTTTTGGTATATGGACTTTCATTCATAGGTAATGAGTTAAAATCTCACAGCATGGCAGAGAGTTCTTAGATTTGTGATGACATTTTGAGTGGGATGTCTACCTTGCCACAAGAATGTATTCATCTGTGGCTAGATATAAAAACAGAGATAGTTAGCTAGAATGTGTGCCTTCTGAATTACTCAATATACAAAATTGCTTAAAATTATTTTCCTTAAGACCTTTGACCATAAGGTAAGTCCTTGAGTTTTGAAAATAGTTTTGGTTGCTTACTCGTTAAAAAATAAATCCTAAAATGTGTAATTACACATGCCCATCGTAAAACAAGCAAAGAAATGTAAAACAACCTAAGTATCACAGAAGAGACTTCGAGGGTCCCTGGAACCACCACCCATCAGCCACCTCCCCAGAAGAAACCTCTGATATCAGCTTGGTGTGTTGCCTTCCAGTTACTTTTCTATTTACGTACTTCAGTGTGTATCTTCAGAACAATATTTTTCAAACTGCAGTTGAGTCCTAAATCTGTTTAATGAGTCATGACCAGCATTTTGAAAAATGGAATGGAATGGCATGAAATGAAATAGAATAGGATATAAAAATTTCAAAGTGCATTGTATGTAGTAAGGATCCACCCAGTTGAGATATAAAATGTGTGTCTTACTAAGTGTCATTTCCAAAAAGACTTACTTCCAAAAAGACTTTGAAAGCTACTATTGTAGAAAATCTATAGTATTATCTCATGCTTTATTTCCCTCTTTTTAAATAAATGGTGACACATTATAAGACTGTTTTACAATGTTTATTCTCAGTCTGTCATGGAGATTCTTTTTTATCAACACACCCAGTTATAGCTTATTCTTTATGACCACTATTGAACAGTACTACATGTCCTGCATGCATTATAGTTTCTTAGTCACTTCCGTCTTGATGGGAACTTAGTTTTTTTTTCAATTTCTCATGATTATAAATGATGCTGCAGTGGGTATATATGTGCGTGCCTCACTGTGCATAGTACAAGAGGTCTTTAGGGTAAATAAGGAGAAATTAAATAGCTGGGCCCTTTGATACACATATTTCCTATTTTAACAAATACATTTTAAAGTGGCTGAATCAATTTGCACTCTGATCAGAAGAGAATCCATTTTTCTATATCGTGATCAACATTATAATCAAACTTTTCAATTTTGCCAAGCTGATTTTGTTTTATTTTTTGTTTATCTGAATGCTGACGAGGTTATTGTACTTCTTTGGTGATTTTCTGTTTGTGTCCCAAGCATTTTTTTCTTATTGATTTGTAAGTGCTCTTTACATTGTCTGACTACTAATTCTTTTATTGTATTTTACATGTTAAAAGTATTTTCACCTAATTTGTTACTTCTTTTCAATTTAAAGGGTGGACAAGTGGTTAGGAATCTATGCTCTCACTGCCAAGGGCCTGGGTTGGATCCTTGGTTGGAAAACTAAGATCCTGCAAGTTGGGGAGCATGGCAAAAAAAAAAAAAAAAAAAAAGCCATCATAGAAGCTGATCATATTCCAACGTCAGTCATATATAGTATGCCCATGATTCATATCTATATGGTTCCTACTGTGAAAGATAGAAAGCATTTGGTCTCATTAAAATTTAAATAAAATCAAAGTTTACATTGGAATACTTTATATTCATTTTATGGTTTTTATTAAAATAGTGAACTTAATTAGTGTTTTAAAACTTAGAAGGAAACTACAAAATTCATTATAAGAGGCAATTTACTTAGGGTGTAAAAAAAATTATATTTGCTAGCTTACTGTGTAGTTAGCATGACATTAAACAGCTACATTTCCCCTCTGTGGTGGTGGGTAGGAGGACCTGGAGGAGGTGTTGGCAAGGGTTTTACACATTTAGTCTCATGTGATCCTCACAACTATTCTGAATGGTAGTTGTTTCTATCCCCATTTTATAGATGACTGAAATTAACGAGATTGTAACCAAGACTGAAGAACTGGGACATGCAACAAGGTGGGCCCTAAACTCTACACTGACTTAGTCTCCTAACTTGTCACTGGGAGACCATGAAATTATGGACAATATAACATAATATAGATGCTCCTTCCCACACCTGAAATACCACTTTTTTCTTAAAAGGAGTTGCTACTTTTAACATGTTCTGACTATACCTTTGAACATTTAATGGATCAAATATTTTTGGAAAGCATGTACAAGTAATAAACTGGAAGCATTATGTCTTTGTAGCCTGTGCAGTGTACTATATCTGCTTTATTATCTCATGGCACATTACAATAGCCAAGTTAGTTGCCCATTACTCGTTCTTTGAGACTTGATTTACATCATATATCCAGTCTATTGAAACCACAATTCATAACACAAACTCTGAAACTGTTAATTACTACAAATTGAACAAAAGATGGATTATTCATGTTCCCCCAATTGACCATGATATAGTATCAACCTACTATTTTTCTGAATTCTTTCTGCTAAGAATCAGGAATTTTTGAACAACTGGAGAAGAGAAAGTATTGAGCAGGAGCTCCCTGAAAAAGTTAAAAAAATAGTTTCCTTTTATAAAGGGGGCTAAAACATACATGGCTTCTCCATATGGGACCAACTGCCCTGTTGAAAGACAACCTTTTAAATTTAAGTACAGTGAACAGATTTGCTCTGGTCTCTTTCCTCTACTTTTGTGAAAAGGAAATAAAGTAACTGAATTGTAGCTTAAATCTGCAAATTCTCAGCAATGAACCTCTGTGCCCAGTGCATAGAAGGCAGCAAAATTAGACAAAGAATGTTGTATTCACAAGGGGTTCATGGGAGGTCCATTTAGAGGGTCACGGTTGAAGGACAGAGAACTGATGCAAACATTTCATCTGAGAAGACCATGAAGAATGAATAGGCTTTCAGTAGACACAGGACATGGATTTGGTGTGAGGGAGGGTATATTTGAGTGGCAGCTTCTGAGTAGAAAAACAGTTTCAGCAAAGGACAGGAGTCAGCTAAGTGAGTGCCACATCTGGAGAACGGCAGAGTGTTCAGTTTTCCCTGTGTGCAGTACCATGAAAAGGTATAGTACTGGGTACATCTGCAGAGGGAGCCAGGGACCACAGCAGATGGTGATTTCAGGAAAGGTGATCTCATGAGAAGAGGCCTAGGGCCTAAGTCAGGCCCGGCATGGAGCAGCACATGGTGACTGTCTGTGGGGAGCAGGAGCCGAGGAGAGGCCGAAGCTTGGACCTGAGTTGTTAAATGACTCCCTCCGTGGGAGAGAGGGAAGTGAGAGAGAAGATGATGACCAGG